CTTTACAGAAGTCGGACAATGCAGCTAGCAAAGAGATGGCTACATTGATAGCCAGCACTGATCTCCAGCTCCAAGCACTTGCCGGAGAGAAGTCTCCTATCCTCCTGTACTCTTCTTGCCCGTGCTTTTCTTGTGAAGGTACTTGGAAGCAAGGAGATTGCTTCATTGATACTCCGTGCTTATCTCCAGCTCCAAACGCTTGCATGAGATGTTCTTGGACTTCTGTGGGGGGCATTGTTGGAATTCTGTAGGGTGAGGGCTGAAGATGCACGCGATGGAAAATGTGTTTAGTTTAGTTTCAGATTTGCTTGTTAAGTTAATAAATTCACTTCGTCATATTTGGTATGGTAGACTGATTCCTTTTTGATATACATTTTGTATATTCCAATTGGTTTGATATATTCGTTATTTTCAAATTGATTTGAAATTTCAATTTTGACATTTGAATGTCAAAAATTCAAATTTTGGAAGATGGCTATATTTGCTTTATTTTCATTTATTCTATTTTTTCTATTCTATTCTTTTCTATGCTATTTCTTTATTTTATTTTCCATTCTATTGTGTTTCATTCTATTCTATAAAGCAGCCTAAGTAGGAATCATCATCTTATTTTACTTTTATACCTTACTGTATTTATTGTAATATGTTTTCATTTCAAATTAGAATTCATACTCAAATTCATTTTCAATTTCTAATTTGGATAATTTGTTTCGTTACAATTTATTTCAGATTCATTGAAATTTGGTACTATTGCGATTTGGAAATTCGGATGCATCAGAATCTCCCAATAATGAAAATTTAATCCGCATTTTGATTTGTAACAAAATGAATGGCACGCCTCCAATGAGGGGGCATTGTTGGACCTCTGTGGGGAGGAGGGGGTTGGACGTATTGTTCAAGTACATGGCTAGCCTTCCACAGCACATATGATGATGGGACAAAGTACCACAAAAAAAGAAATGATGCTTCCTCTTTACCCAGTTGCCGCCTTGGCCTAACGCCATATGGCATCCTTTCCGGAGCGTGCATTGCGCATGCCCACAGGGCTGCGCTGTTGATAGATCTGTCACCTCGGACACGGCCGATGACAGATATGTGTACCGGCCCCGTTGCCAGTACCATGTGATCTGCTGTGAGCAATCACAGCAGGTCACATGACAGTTGTATACAATGGAGGGCTTCCTTTCATGCCATCCATTGTATACAAGTGTGTTTAGCTGTGAATGGTCACAACGATCACATGCACAAGCTGGGCCAATCACATCCCAGCTATGTCATGTGATTAGCCATGGCCAAATCACAACCCCCCCCCCCACCCCCGAATGAATCGATTTCATTCAGGAAAATGCTTGCTTATAGCAAAGTAATTCTTTGCTATCAGCAAATTGTTTGTTAAAAACAATATATAGATCACTTCCCCAAAGTAGTACAATGTTACTATGGTAACATTATACTACTTTGGTCATATTGAAATATGAAAAAAAATCTTAAAAAAAGAGAACAATATTTAATAAAAAATTTAAAATAATAAAAATAGTAAGAAAATTGAAACAAATTATCAATTTTTTTTTGTACTGTCACCAGTCAGTGTCCCTGATCACCGCCATGCCAGTTATATGATGACGCTGCACTGGTGACAGTATGTAAAAAAAAAATAGTGAAAATAATTTTTTTAATTTCTTCATTTTCCGAAAAATTATGACAAAAAAAATACAACTTCAAAAAACTCGCCATGCCTGTTATAAAATACGTTGGACTGTCTACTTTGCAAAAAGGGGTCATTTGGGGGATATCTGTACTGTCCTGACATTCTTGGACCTCAAGAAATGAGATTGGCTGTCAGTACTTCAGGATCAGGGGCGGACTGACCATTCGAGCACTCGGCACTGCCGAGGGCCCGGGGTCAGTAGGGGGCCCCATAAAATGCCCCTGGTACCTTTTATAGGCTTTTTTGTGTGTATTTTGAGTGTGGGCAAGGACACAGGGGCCCCATGATCCCCATGATCCCCATGAGTTGTTAGTCAGGATTGATCGATTTTCAGATCTATCCCATAGTTTGTGAACTCTATAACTTTCCTACAGACTAAATAATAAATACTAACTTGGGTTACTTTCACCAAAGAAATGTAGTAGAATACATCTCGGCCTAAATTTATGAAGAACAATTATTTATTTGCAAACTTTTATAACAGAAACAAAGAAAAACATGGGATTTTTTCTAAATTTTCGATCTTTTATTGTTCATTCAGCAAAAAAATAAAACCCCGGCCAGTGATTAAATACCACCAAAAGAAAGCTCTAGCTGTGTGGAGTAAATGATAAAAAGTTAGTTCGGGCACAGTGTGTTGTATGACCGCGCAATTGTCATATAAAGTGTGATAGCTCCTGGGGCGGACTGACAGCAATAGGGGATCATGGAGCCCCTGTTTCCTTGTCCAAACTCAAAAATGCCTATGAAAAAGGTACCAGGGGCATCTCATGGGGCCCCCTACTGAGCCCAGGCCCTTGGGCAGTGCTTGAGTTTCCAAATGGTCAGTCCGCCCCGAACTACACTCGGGAATACACTGCAGCGTTGCTCTGGGATCCCTCCTGCACTTACCTTGTCCTGCGCTCCCGTGATGTCCCTCCTGCAGTGTCCCCGGCCATCTCTTTCCGGCCGATGCCGGCAACTGTCTTTCGGATTCCAGTCCCTGCGAGCGTCGGGACGTATGGGGGACGGAACCGGCGGGAGATTTGAAAATTTTAAAACCTGGCATTCACAGAATACACTAAAATCACATAGTATAACATTCCTGTATCAAACCATTTCACATACATTTTGTCCCGAGTGCTTTGTCCGGCGCCCTGCCTGCATTTTTACTGTTCTTTCTGCCTGGAAACTGAGAAACGTCCATGGCATCCAAAAAGCGTCCCTTTAGGTCAAAAGCGGTTTTAGACCGGCTAGAGAACAGCGATAGTAAATCAGAACCACTTGCAGAATTGAGTGATAATGATTCGTGGGGGAAATTCCTCATCAGACACTGAAAACGATTCTGCGACTTTGCTCAGCGATGTGCGAAGTTGGCGCTCTATTTCACATTTCAGTGTTTTTGGTTTGATTATATTATTGAATTAATATTTTTATTATTATATTATTATTTTTTATGATTATTTATTAAATTATAATTTATGATTTCGTGTTTCAAATTTTATCATCCCCGGGATGTTTACTAGACTCTTGTTCGGACAGATTTCAGTGAGTTATTCCTAAAAATTACAGGCCGACAATAAAAAAAAAATACATATTTCCATGCAAAAAAATGTACCGCTTTCAGCACAGAAATACTGACATAATCAGACCGCTAGGGAGGTTAATAAGTCCTCGCCCACACCCCTAAAAGCCTATGAAAAAGCCAATGAAAGGTACCAGGGGCATCTCATGGGGCCTCCTATTGACCCCGGGCCCTCGGGCAGTGCCTGAGTGCTCGAATGGTCAGTCCGCCCCTGGATAGCGCTGAAGCCTGAAAATTGGCTTGGGCAGGAAGGGGGTAAAAGTGCCCGGTATGGAAGTGGTTAAACATCACCACTGGAAGAACTCCATGTTGAAAATCGATCTGATGATAGGCTCACCTTAAGGGAAAGGGATCTGCTACAGAAGACAGCAATTGCCATAATATCTAAACCCTAACCCAGTTTCTTACAAAAAAAAAAAAAACACATCTTAGTGATTCATCCTCCGGCTTTGACTCAACCAGAATAAAAAGACTTTTGAATCTCTTCTACGTCTCTTGTAAGGCTTCGACATTCAGAGTTGAATCATGCAAACAAGTGATAACAAGTACAGAATAAATCACATCAGCGCTCAAAAACATTTCTCAACATAATAGAAATAACGAAATCAAAGATGTTTCTGGTCGCAAGACGGTAAGTCCCAACAGCGGCTGAAGGAACGGGTGATCGGAATCTTAAACAATTCCTCGACGGGATGTTGTTTTTCTTAAAAAAAAAGTATCTTCCCTGATCCATCAATTAGGTCATTAGTATTGACGGCTTATATGAGGGAGTGGGGTCTGTGGGACGTTTCAGGTCATTGTTTGATGGCTTCTGATTATCACCGAGGGAGATGTCCATGGCCATTAGTCACGTGGGGGCTGTCAGCACCTCCCTGTCCAGACCGTTTATAAAGCAAAGATTATTGAAGAATATTATAGATTTATGGAAATGAAGGGACAGGACATGTAAGGAAATAATTGCCTGACTTCTGTTGGTGAAAAATAGCAACAAAACCCAAGTGGCTGGTCTAATGGATGGACTAGGGATGCGGTGTTTATACACAAAGCTGAATTATTATGGCATGGCTGAAAGGAACTGTAGCTACTGATCTACCTTGCTATTTACAGTCAAATTCCTGTAGGCAGTTGCTAAAGTAAACAAACAAACAAAAAAAAGATAGCTTATTAAGAGACAAAAACTAACTTATGCCGCAATACGTCTCTTCAGTCTGGAGTTGCAATATGCAGTACATCTTTTTCACCACTAGATGTCATCAGTCTTCCAGGTTGGATGACAACCAGCACCAATCAAGCCACCTCCTCTAAACCTAGGCTGTCATAGACCCGCCCCCAGCCCATGATTGGAGAGTGAAGAAGAAGCAGTACAGTGATGCACTCATCTCTTTCCTCTTCTGATTTCTCCTATCAGCATGCTCTTTGTCAGCATGTGCTGCTTTTTCCCTCTCCAACACTGAACTTTGCTGTACCAAGAACTGCTTGAGGAGTAAACCAAGTCTAGTTCAGATGCGTTACTGTCAGGGCTCCCAGGGTATGAACAGAGGTATGTGAACTGACACAGGGAAATGCAGGCTTCAGATATGTTATAAACAATAAGACAATTTATTAAAGACTAACAATACAAATATAAATGCAGTGCACCAAACCCCAAGCTAACACAAATACATACAACAAGGTGAAACAAACCCAAACCTAAACTGATACAGATACACAGGTACATACACATATAGAGCACAACGTAATCAGGCAGGCCAGGTCGATAACTAACGGGCAGGTAGGTACAGGAGGAGCAGGCGGAGAGAATGGTCAGGGTCACAAGCCAGGGATCAAAACAGGAGAAGTCAGCAGAGGTCAGGATCAGACTGGGTCGGCAACAAGTCAGGCAGAGGCAGAGGCAGGAACACGAGAACAGGAACAGGAACGCAGGTTACAAGATACAGGGGCCCATGGAAAAACACACACCAAGGCCCGGACTGCAGGTCTGGCCATCCCTTAAATACACCTGCATAATCAGCTTCAGGTGTTTGGCTGGCTGCAGGGTTGAGTCTCTGATTGCTGAGAGCACCCGCTGGCCAGCCCTGGTACTGCAGCCCACAAGGCAGGTGAGTCCCACCATTACTGGCAAGTCCATTCCTGACACGTACACTGTATTAATTTAACCAAATACATTTATTAATGTAATAATGAATACAGAGCTACATTCCCCCTTCGCTGAAGGTGGCAGCACTGGTCTATAAACAGACTCCTGGATGCTATAGCAGCTGGGAGTCTGTTTACATTTCTTCAGCAGATTATTGGTTGCCCGCTCACTTCTGTGCTTGATTAGCTTTCATGGAAGGTAAGTTAAGTCCAATGAGGTGCTTGCCGCCTTCTAGAATTATCTCCATTATTCACATCTGACAGGTTTACTGTTATAAGATAGCTTCCAGAGCTCCGACCTGATGCTGCTCACTGTGATCTCAGCTTCTTCCAGAGCAGAGTCGCTGGAACTGCTATGCCCACCCCTTCCCTCCTTCTGCCCATTCATAGAAGCCTTTGTAAAAGATGGAGCAAATGGCAAGTGGTTGACAAACAACACATTGCACTACATCCATATAAAATTGTACAAAAAGGAGTAGGTTGTGGGATTTTGCAGGTGTATAATGATAATTAGATTAAACTTATTAAAGGTTTTTTTTTGCAATTTATTAATGTCAATAAAATTACATTAAATATGAATAGTTACAACAACTTGACAATCACCACATGCTTGACTGTTTCCTGCAGTGCACAGATGGTACTTCCCAACATGTTTCGCCCAACCTGGGCTTCCTCAGGGAAAGAAAAAGGCTATCCGCAATACAGTCTACAATAGTACCAAAAATACAACATTAGTCAATCATAGTTATACAATATGCATCAAACTGCAATACATAGATATATATTTCCAGCAAATTAATTGTCCAGATAAATATGAGACCCCTGCTTACCCTAGGGACTATGCTGCCAATATCGTTCTTTAAGGCAAAAATGAGCAAATGATGGATCAAAAACACAAGCGTCCCTGTGATTGCAGAAGGCACATAAAAGACCGAAATCCAAAAATAAATAAATAAATAAATAATAAATAATAAATAAAATAAAATAAATAATAAAAACAAATAACAATAAAAATAAATAATAATAAAAAAGAAAAATAATATATAATAAATATAATATATATATATATATATATATATATTATAAAACACTAGTCACTTACAAAAAGGTAGCCATTGCTGGATGTCAAAGGTCCCCCCCATTATTAAGGATTTCACACTATTAAGAAAAAGAAAAAAACAAGAGAGCATTGCTCACAAGGAATGAATAAGAGTATTTTCCAAACTTTTCAATGAATAAGAACTCAGCAAGACATAGCAAAATCGATCTTACCAATTACTAAATCAATAGACATGTGAGGAATTGAGCACAGGCTTGATATTTAAGCATCACCCGTGTGGCCAAAAGACCATCTCCACTCTAATCGGCCCTTAAATACGTTGCGGACATCCATTGTGTCACTACGCATACGCGGATGCTGTCCCCACGTGTGCGCGTACACCGACAACCTTGGATTCTTGTACAGTCAGCACGGCTGTAAGGATATAGGGATTCAGATGGAAGTAGCGCCACCAATGGTGGGAAGACAGGTTTACTGTCATAAGATAGCTTCCACAGCTCCAACCTGATGCTGCTCACTGTGATTTTAGTTTCTTCCAGAGAAGAATTGCTGGAACTGCTATGCCCGCCCCTTCCCTCCTTCTGCCCATTCATAGAAGCCTTTGTATTTTGAGAATGTGAAGGCTTCTGTGAATGTGCAGCAGAGGGGAGGGGTGGGCATAGCTACTCGGTGTGCTTCTCTCCTCTCACAGCTGGAATGTGTCCTTTTGGGAGTGCAATAAACCTGTCACGTAGAAGCAGGGGTGGACTGACAACTCATGGGGCCCCTGGGCAATAGGGGATCATCGGGCCCCTGTGTCCTTGCCCAAACTCAAAAAAAAAGCCTATGAAAAAAGGTACCAGGGGCATCTCATGGGGCCCCCTACTGACCCCGGGCCCTCGGGCAGTAGTTTAGATGTGCCAAAAACCATATATTAGGAGGTCAAATCTAACAACACTTTCAATTGTATCCAATTGGGCAGGCTCTTGTACTACATACTTGAAGGTAAATCTAAAGGAAATTGGGCAGAAATTGGACAGAAAATTGTATAGTGTATGGCCAGCCTTAGGCTAGGTTCATACCTATACAGTTTGTGTTTCTGCAAAAAGCACAAAAAAACGCATTGGTGTGAACGGAGCCTTACAGAGGAGGGGACTGCGACTGTTAGGCTCCATTCACATGCGTTTTTTAGTGCTTTTTGCATAAACGCACTACAGTCCGTTTAACATGGTTTCCTATGGGACATGTTCACATCTCTGCTTTTTTTGAGCCGCTGCGTTTTTGGAAAGGTTCGGGGACTTTTTTTTGAACGGAAAAAGCAGCGTTTTTTCTACAATAGAGTTCAATGGAGAATCTGCCGAAATGCATGGTAGTGCATTTTTGCAGCATTTTGCATTTTTATTCTGCCCAGCAACAAAAAAAATTCTACTTTAACAGAAAAAAAAAAAAGAGCTGAACAAAACATGGTAAAAAACGCATCAAAAATGTGTCAAAAATGCGGGCAGAAAAACACAAAATGAACTGCGAAATGCACTACAAAATGGACAAAAAGCAAACTGCATAGGTGTGAATGGAGCCTAACAGAGGTGCATTGAGGGGTTTTCCCTGCAATACCGAGTCATATGAAGATGGCTTTGCTAGGGTCGCTTTTGGTTGTCGTTGTCAATGTGAGAGTTCAATGGTGAATCTGCTGAAATGCATGGTAGTGCGTTTTTGCCACGTTTTACATTTTTATTCTACCCAGCAAAAAAAAATTCCACTTTCAAAAAAAAAAAAGGCTGAACAAAAACACACAAAATGAGCCAAAACTGCATCAAAAAAAAGTGACAAAAACGTGCATAGGAAAAAAATGAAAAACGAACTGCAAAGAGCACTGCGAACCGGACAAAAAAGCAAACTGCAGAGGTGTGAACGGAGCCTTATCCAGTCTCTAATTTGAATTTCCAGACAGAATTTTCAAGGCCATTAACCATAGTGAATACAGACAGGACAGGCAGCTCAGACAGACCGGGCGTTACATGGATGGTTGCCTTCTTTATATTGCATCTTCGATGTCGGCTGCCGAGTGGAAAGATAGTGATTTCTGCTAAAGTGAATCAGTCTTCAAAGAGAACAAATTGTGCTTCTGTATGAGTAATACAAACTTTTTTTCTTTTTACTTTACTTCCTTTGAATAGAGTTAATATGAACAGTTGCATGTTTACCATCTTCAACCAGCAGGGGGCAGCTAAATGTAAATCTAGGCTAGGGATAGATGCTGATCCAGAGAGAGGTGTAATAAAAACACAGAAGGGGCATGTTGTCCTATTCCTCCCCTTCTTCTAGCCCAATGATTTTTTGATTTTGTTTTGTAAAGGACAGGAAAGTGTTAGGGCTTCTGCCTAGTTTTTATTCCATCTTGTGTCCCCATTGGGGAGATTTTCCCTCTCTTTCTTTCAGGTCAGGAAGCAGTGGTAAATCTCTCCCTCCCCCATTTTTAGTATGAAGAGATAGATCTGCAATGCTTATGTTGCTGTCTATGCCTTTTTTTCATGGTGACAACCACATCCCACATTTTTTGTATGGGTGTCACAGAAACAGGAAGGACAAACTCCTCAACAGGGTCACATGCAGAAAAAAAGTTAGACAGAAAACTACCAATGCCTAGGTGAGATGTTCACCCCGCCCGCTGTGGGGATCAGGTCTGGGTGAGATGTTCTCCCTGCCCCCAGTGGGGATCGGGTCTGGGCAAGATGTTCTCCCTGCCCCTGCGGGGATCGGGTCTGGGAGAGATGTTCTTCCCACCCCCTGCAGGGATCGGGTCTGAGCAAGATGTCTCCCTGCCCCTGCGGGGATCGGGTCTGGGTGAGAAGTTCTCTCCGCCCCTGCGAAGATCGGATCTGGGTGAGATGTTCTCCCTGCCCCCTACAGGGATCAGGTCTGGGTGAGATGTTCTTCCCGCCCCCTGCGGGGATCGAGTCTGGGTGAGATGTTCTCCCTGCCCCCTATGGGGATCGGGTCTGGGCGAGATGATGTCTCCCCCACCCCCTGCGGGGATCAGGTCTCTTACGGGGATCGGGTCTGGGTGAGATGTGTTCTCCCCTCCCCCCCCCCTGCGGAAATCGGGTCTGGGTGAGATGTTCTTCCCGCCCCTGCGGGGATCGGGTCTGGGTGAGATTTTCTCCCCGCCCCCTGCGGGGATCGGGTCTGGGTGAGATGTTCTCCCCGCCCCTTACGGGGATCGGGTCTGGGTGAGATGTTCTCCCCGCCCCCTGCGGAAATCGGGTCTGGGTGAGATGTTCTTCCCCGCCCCCTGCGGGGATCGGGTTCTCCCCACTGGGTGAGATGTTCTCCCCGCCCCCTGCGGAGATCGGGTCTGGGTGATTTGCTCTCCCCGCCCCCCTGCGGGGATCGGGTCTGAGTGAGATGTTCTCCCCACCCCCTGCGGGGATCGGGTCTGGGTGAGATGTTCTCCCCCGGCCCCCGCGGGGATCAGGTCTGGACAGAAACCTGTGTCACATCTGCACATGCACCAGTTTCCTCGCCGTTATCCACACACACGCAAGGACTGCTACTAGGGCAGTTCAAAGCCACCTCCGTCTTTGAGAGTGTGCGGAAATCCCCCATGCGCAGGTGTGTCCAGGAGCTCTGCCAGGGAGAGCCCATGGGTGCATCTGCGAATGCCCAAGAATGGTGGTGCCAGGGGGCGGAGTCTATACAGAAATTCCACTTTAAAGTGTATGCAAACTCTCGGACCCTATTCACGTCTAGCGATTTGGAATGGCAAAATTGTGGGCAGTGATTCCAATTTGGTTTAATATCCACTTTCTGGCCACAATACGTATATAAAAATTGCGGTTTTCCGGGTTTACCGCGGTTACGGCCATAACCTCCGTATCTTTTTTTTCAGCCAACAGTTGACTTTCTCATGAAAGCGGCTTCAGCGGCTAATTAGTCACTGGAACGCTTCCTCTCATTGCCTCTGGGAGCAGCCGGCCGCACCATCGGAGCATTTCTTGGCTGCGTCGGTAAGTTCGAGAAACGTTGGCGAGTGGGCGCGGGGGGGGGGGGGGGGGGGTTGTGGTGTGGTGTCCCTCTTGTGAA